TTCAAGATGCACGAGTAAATTTCTTTCTCTGGTAGATTTGTAACCTATGCACCGAACACACCTTGTAGTCTGTATTGGCAGCTTCTGTACTGTTCTGTAGTATGGTACACCCCATGCTCTTCACCTTGGAAAACCGCTTGGTGGATCGTCCATCCAAATTGTTATAAAAACCTAAACCTTTTCTGATCTGCAAATCTTAGGTAAATAAGTAACTTAAAGAAAACCCTTAGCAATTAGAATTTTGTAACAAATACCCTCATAGAGTAGGATGAAATTCTAGGTGGTAACTGTTGTGAAACATTGAGATTCTTGTAGTTACAAAATAGAGGGATGAAAAGCTGATGGATGGACATGGACAAAATGGCTTTGAAATAATGTTAAGCATTCTCTGTTTCAGTAAAATGCAAACTATGTTCAATTTACTGGCTTCAGTATTAAGGGTGTGTATATTGGAGTAGATCAGAAATTTCCTCATGGGGAACTGATTTTGTCAAAAAATGCTGATGTGATTCAGTTTCAATGCTCTGTGGGAATCCTGTCAAAACTCTTGATGGAATTGGTGAACTCACTTAGGTGCCTGCCAGGCTGCAGCTCTGGCAGATGGCCTGGGGGATTGGCGGGTTGGGGGGCTGCACACCCTCCCTCCCTCTGGCTGGGGGCTGAGTAGGAAGCTGTTTTGAAACTCTTACTTGGGGAAACCTGGCTGTTAACTGGAAAAAAGAACTGGTTTGGGGTTTTCTATTTGTTTGGGGTTTTTTTAATTGAGTCCGTCTCCAAATCACTTTCTTGGAGCAGCTTTTTTTCTTAAACTTTGCCGTGATTTGGATGTAAGAGGAAGATGGGGGGGAAAGAAGAGAGGTTTAGAGGGGAATGCTTCACAGGGTGAGATTTCTGCGTTACAGCAGGCACTGGTAGGGACTGAAGGAGGGGGCTGAAGGGCTACATGCACAGATGGGGATAGACCGTACTGTACCAGCCTGGGAAAATGATTAATCAATACTACAGGGATTTATTCTAGTATTTAGTTCTTGTAATTTAGCCTTCTGTTTCTCTGCTCAGGAATTCTGTAAGAGAATGTTCTAAATGTGATGCTGATTCAGGATCCTGGTGATTTTAAGAGAAATCAAAACAGTTCCCAAACTATTTTTCAGCTGGTTCTCATTGCAAATGGCAGGGAAGGGAACAAATGTTCTACCCATGTTTCTAATTGCAAGTTGCATAATTACAGTGTGGATTTTAATAAAGGGAACTTGGGGAAGTAATACTAAGGAACAGTGAATGATAAGTAAGCGAGATGCTTAATGTTTTTCATAGTCCTATTGCAGTAGCTTGGCTGTAGGCAACCTTCATTCTGACACCTCCCAGGTTTTGAGAGCTTGTTTTTCTGACCTTAGTTGTCTCTCCAAAGGAAGCGTGTAACTTCACTGATCTTGTTTTTTCAGAATAATTAAAAGGAAAAAAAGAAATCACCTGAAGTAGCATTATTTTCACCAGTGTAATTCGTTAATAGAGTCGGAGCTTTTAGGTTCCTGAAGCAGCAGACCATTACTTCATGAGGGACTGGAGGATGTCATCGCCCTCTATGTGGGATCAGGGCTGGAGGAAGAAAATGTCTTCCAGTTAGCGCAAGGCTCCTTCTTCCCTTTATCTCTTCATCTCTTCTTCAATGTTAGTCACTTTTCCACTGCTTGACTTCTCTTCCTCATCCTGTTCCTCACCCAGGTCTAGATTTTACCACCCTGGTTTCTGTCAGTACTTATTGCACTGAGATTTTCTGCCTAAACTAGGACCTCTTCCCCCTCTGCTCAGTTGTAAGGCAGCTCTTCGGTGTTCCCTTCCCCTTGGTGATCCCTGTCCAAAATGAGCTGTCTTTTCTAATCGCTGCATGAAAGCTTCCTCCTTGGGATGTGCTTCCATTGCTTCCCCGGCTGTTTCACCCATTCTTTGTTTCAATAGAATTGAGTTCTCCCCTGCGTGGTAGTTCATCCTATCCTTGTTTCCTGCCCTCTGCCCCATTTAGTCCTTCAGTCTGTCTTCCCTCTGTCCTGCTTGGTTGTTTCCCAACAACCTACTGATGGCGATCCCCTCTCCCAGTATACACACGCTTTTCCTGGTTGGTTCTTAAGTTTGTCCTGCTTCTCTCCTCCCACTTCTCCATCATGCTCAACAACTTTCCTGGCTCTCTTCATTCACCTTTTTCCCCACCCCAGTCTGTCTGTTGCCTTTTAAGTACTTTAATTTCCTCTTCCACTGTGAATATCAGTAGATAGAGCTGGAGAGGTAGATCTGAAGTGTCTGTGGGGCTCTACCTCGGTCCAGCAGGAGCTGTACTTCCAGGACATACTGCCTTGAGCTGGGGAACGCTCGCGTGTTTCATCAGAATGGCTCATGGTTGGACCTGATGTGGGAGGTTGGAGCACACCCCTGAAATCCTCAGAGGGTTTAGTAAATATTGGCTCTGTATTTGTAAAAATGTGTGTTGGAGACAGGGAGAACTTGTCACCTGACACTGAGGGGACAGACAGGTTCTTTTAGGGATCCTTGGCAGAATGATGATGGCACTGAATTGTGGTTAGAATTAAAGCTTTATTTTCTTATTGGGATGTTATGATTAGTATAGCACAGGATTTATGATTAGAATGGCACAGTTTCTACAAGCAGAATAGCACTGTACAATTTATAAGCAGTGTAATACATAATTTATTTATAGCTTAGAATTTCTGGACCCTCTGATCAGGGGAAATCTTTAATACGTGGTTTGTTGTATCAATATCACAATCATAATCTAGACTTGGGAATCATATAAAAAAATACAAGTCACTCCCTCAGTCCTTGGAGGAAGCCAAGGATGGCGGAGGTGTCCCTGGCCAGGGTGGGCCCCAGGTCTCGCTGCCCAGCAGCAGCTCTGGACCAGGTTTCCCCATCGGGACTTACAACTGCTGGGTTTTACAGACAGTGCTCTGGGTGCTGTGACACTTCCCTGTTCTGTGGCGGGGCCCTGGTGCCCGGGACCTTCAAGGCCAGCAAGGGAAGGAGTCGTCAGCCTGGCGCCCAGGAGCCCTGAGTGCTCTAGGGAGGGGAAGAAGAATCTGTTTGTTTTTTCTGCATAGTTCACGGGACCTTCAGGGCCTGATAATGAGGGGGAAGGGAATGAGTATGTGACCCACTTGGTCACAGAGAATGGTTTCTTGCCTCATAAAATGGTGCTAGCTGTGCTAACCACATAGCCAGGGGTTGGGAGCAGGAGGTACCAGTCATAGAACAATCCTATGGACAGTTGGTTTTGGTGTGAACAGTGAGTTTGGTACAGACTTGAGCAACAGAGGGCTGGGTTTTATAACTGAAAGCTGATGACAGTATCGATAATAATGGGTGCTCCCAGGCTCCCTCTTAATAGTAGTGACAGGTATTAGTAACAGTTAAGGAGGTCTTTTGCTGGAGGAATGACCTACGAATGATGGAGAGCCACAGTGTTAACTTCTGGGATGGGAAGAAGTTAGTTAGATTAATAAAAAGATGCATTAAGAAGTGTTGGAATGTGTAAAACAGTCACTTAAGGCTGAATATCAAGATTGTAAAGCAGTATGCTATAGGATGTTTTTTCCAAGGAATTAGTAGAAATTCTTTTTTAAATGTTAATGTGTTGATCGGATGAAATGCACAAATACCCCGAAGAAGCACTTTCGTATTAGTGGGAGGAAGATTGTGAAGCAAAATACGCCTTTAATTGTCTCTTCTGAGAACAAATGTTTGAGTTCTAGAAATGCAGTGTGTAGAGTAACCTCCAGTGGTGTTCGCAAAGCTACTTGAAATAGGCTGCTGCTTTTCACTGCCATCCTTAAATAGGACATAGGGCCCTTAAATACCCATGGAAATTTAAGCGCAAGGAGCAAAAACCAGGCTCCGATCCAAAGCCAGTTGAAGCTGATTAAGAGACTGCTTTTGGCTACCGAGGGCTCTGGCTTAGGCCACTGACAAGCTAGAATTGAGTCTCAGGTGTTCAGACAGACTTTTTTTAGTTAGTTGCGTCCGTGGGTTTTTCTTTTTACGCTAGAGGTGCTGTCCATGATTATAGGAAATGTGCTGGTGTGTATACCAACTGAAGTGTTACGTGTTTTCACTACTTTGTTCTAGAAATAGTAAGTGAACGATACTCAGCACCTTAAATACACTTAATCACCAGATTATGTATTGTTCTGGTTTTATGGCTTGATGCCCACCATGCACTGCTAAAGCACAGGTAGGCCCAGCCAAGATGTACGTACTCCTATAAGATGTGCCTACAGCTAGAACAGGGGGAAGGACACTATCTTTCCTTTGCATACCTTGCAGTTCTTCAGCTGGCTGGTTTCAGCATGCTTTTCCGTTCTTCCTGTCCTGTTAGATAGATTTAAACCTTTCAAATAATGAAGCAGAAGAGAGGAATACGTTTTTCAAATAAGAATCTGTAGAGTTGCAAGTACAGGGTAGAGAGGTGATGGTCTGCCTGACTCAGATGATTGTTTTATTTATTTGCATGCCTATTTTTTATTTTAGAAATAGTAAATGAAATGTTTACATTTTTTCATAATGTTTTTTGAGTGCAGGCCAAGTTAGTTCTATCATTTTAATTCCACTTGGCATGTTGCCCCACTTAACTTCACAGTTTGGCCTGAACTTTTTATAGATGTATGTAGTTATTAGCTATTTGTGTGCTGTCTCCACTTTCTTCAAGATGAAAGGAGTTGGAAAGTCGCTTATAGCATTGTGTCAAGATTTCATTCCAAATGTTAACGGAAATGTAGAGCTGTTCTCTCCTCCAGCTGAGCTAGATGGCTTTTATACTACTCACCAATAAAATTTTCCACAGTACAGAAAGATTTTGAAAAGCTCTTTAAGTAACGTTCTGTAAAGCATCATGAAAAGTGGGTGGTAGCATTGGGGGGCAAAATGCTTACATCAGTTTGGGAGGATAAATTGGAACTTGTCTTAATTAATTTCTTTTCATATTTGACCTCTAGGTTCCAGCAAGATGTGGGGTGACGGTCCGAGACAGCCTGAAGAAAGCTCTGATGATGAGAGGTCTTATTCCAGAATGCTGTGCTGTTTACAGAATACAAGATGGGTATGGTTTGTGTGCAGTGGTTTTGGCTCTTGGAATCTCTTGCTGGAGTTACCCAGTGTGGCCGATTCTGTCCAACACTGTGGAGGTCATTTTCAGACGATACGAGACTTTTCACTAAACCATTTGTGCCTTGAAGACGTGTCTAAAAAGAATGGCAAACATCTAGAAAAAGATTTAATCACTTCAGGAGCATGCATAATAGAGTAATATGAGCTTATAGACTGCTGGCAAAATGCTCATCAATCAAACTCACGCTAACCAAACAAGTATGGAGTGGGTTTCGCTAACTCCTTGGTTTTACTTGTCTTGGTTAGAGTGTATTCTTAGCTGAAGAGTTCCTGGGGGGGTGGGAGGAAGAGTTTCCAGCCCTAAAATTTGGTAGATTAACTTCCTGCAGGAAATTAGCCATCTCTTTTGAACTCTTAAGGGACGGGTACTGTCACAAGCGGTTTATTTGATCAGAAAGGTGCCTGACACCTTGGAACCAAGGAATCAGCCACTACTGGAGCTGACTGTGAAAGTGCATCGCTTCTGTGCAGTTTTTCCAGGGAAGGTGTGCTTTCCCTGCTATGTGCCGAGCTGAATATCTTGCCTTTAAAGCTGCCTGCAGTTAGAGACTGGGTGGCAAACCCCCATCATGCAACTTTTCTACCTGATCTCTCAGCAGCAGACTGGCTAAGGCTTGTGGGCTGGTGCTAATGAAAGGCTTATTTACACTTTAGAGAGAAGAAGCCAATCGGCTGGGACACAGACATTTCCTGGCTCACGGGAGAGGAGTTGCACGTGGAAGTCTTGGAGAATGTGCCACTCACAACACACAATTTTGTATGTACTGTTTTTTATGAAATGCTGAGTTGGGTCAAATGAACTTTGTACTTTCAAATTAACAACTTTGGATAGTATTTTGTATCTGTGGGATGTGGTGGGGATTGCAGAAGAAGTTTTTAATCGCTGTAGCTTATGTGAATTAGATAGGATTGCCATTGAAATCAGTAATGTTAGAGTACTCGATCTCCCTTAAATCTTGCATGTTTGGATGGAATCCACCCTCTAAAATCTATAAATGTAGGAGGTTTAAATCAGCACTGCATTGCAGAGCTGTAATAATAATCTACTATTTTTGTATTGCTGTATCTATAAAATGTATTCTGGGCCTCCCTGCCGGCTCTGCAGCAGCAATTAACTAATGAACTAACTATTCCCAGAGTGGTGCTGACATCATCAGTGATGCTAGTGCACAAATATGTTTTGACCTGATAAGACACCAAGTAAATGGGAGCTGCTAAACAGAATCCATCTAAACTGTTCCAGCTACATGCAAAATCCTGGAAATAGCGTTTGTCACATTGAGAAGAAAGATCTTGTATTTAAATAATGAATCAAAGTTTTGTTTGCAAGCTGCTTGAACTATTTTACTCAAACAAGCTGGTTTGTCTACGGCTAGTTAGATGAAAGCCTAGTAGGCTTAACTTCTTTTATCTCCTTCTGAAATTTTGATTATTACAGGTAGTAATACACTAGAATGTGGTTTTATGTCAAGTACTGCTAAATTTGAAAATGAAACTAAATTATTTTTCCCCTCAGATTGTGTGGATATTATGTGTTCACTCTTTTGTGATAGGAAATGTTTGAGTTTCAATAGTCAAAATCGCAACTATACATATAACCGTACATAGGAGCCATGTTTATAAGCCACATCTCTATTTCCATCCTGTGAGTGTTGGATAGAAATGTCATTTGGCTCCTGGAAAAACAAGAAGATGAGATAATCTTTCAGCAGCTTTTGGTTTTATAGGTGGTAGCCGATTAATTTCTGAATGTTTGTCTCACGCACGGTAGTAGTGCACTGTGTTGCTTCAGATTTGTTGCTGTTTTTCTTGCTGCTAATGAAGGGAAGCATTAATTCCAATAAGTAGCTGAAAGAGAAATTTAATGCATGAAGACTGTTTAAAAAATGAGACACTTCTGTATGTACATTTGTTTGACATAAAAAATGCAGCTCTGGCATCAAACAAGAGGCTTGTAAGTGTATTTGAGGGAGGTAGAAGCAAATAGTCTATCTTAAGCTTACAGAAGGACCCTAATTATTATTATTTTTGACAACATAGGTACGAAAAACATTCTTCACGTTAGCATTCTGCGACTTTTGTCGAAAGCTGCTTTTCCAGGGATTCCGGTGCCAGACATGTGGCTACAAATTTCACCAGCGCTGTAGTACAGAAGTGCCACTGATGTGTGTTAATTATGACCAACTTGAGTAAGTAATCACAATTGGTTGTGAAGTTGAGCCTTTCATTAAGCTTACAGCTGTCAGTGATTTCTTACGGTAAATCTGTAATTCAGGAAGTCAGAGGAAACGCCTGAAAAAAATACAGGAGTTCAGCTGCTCTCGTGAGACTGCATAATGCATATTCTCTCTGGGCTAGCTCAGACAACTAGGGTTTTTCTTTTTGGTTTTTTTTTGGTTTTTTTTCTGGACTGTGAAATACTTTCTTTGAAGCATGAATGGGGTGGCTGAGCACTTGGCTGTATCAGACAGACTTAACGTTGTTTACAGTTGTTCTTAATCAAAACTGCTTCTTTGCTGTGTTAAGGCTAAGGCTCTGTTTAAATGTTTAGATGGGGTGTTTGATGCGGGTTTATCCTCTTCGACCTGGTGTGGAGACACTAGTTTAACATGATGAAATATTGCAGTTGGTATTACAGCGACTGAAAATAAATCCATTAGTGAGTTCGATGCCTGGGTAGGAAACATAAAAGGGAATGTCCCAAACAGGCCTGTGTTCTTGACTTTAGTTATTGATCTATTTGTGCAAGTCTTTGGTGTAGGTTAAGGATCTGGTGTAAACTGGCTCTGTGTTCCATTTGATTGGTTTCAGTAGAGGCTATTAAATCTTTTAAATGGACTTTTGTATAAGGAATCATTTTAAATGCTAGCTTTTCCCCCAAGAGTTAATTTAATATTTACTTATGCTGGTATTTGTAACTGTTTTCTTGAGCACCTTTGGAGTTTGTGCTCGAGACTTAAGGATGACATAGTTGTCTCCCCTTGGCATTTGGCTTTTGGCATTGCATCAGTGCAAAGATAAAATTGAGTTTGTGTACTCACTATGTAGGTATAAGTTGTGCATTCTTGAGGAACCAGATGTTTGCAATTTCAACTAAAAAGTTAAAAAATTACTTTCTGTAAAGGTATGTTTAAGGCATGATCTTTTGATTCTTTGTCAAGTAAATATTTTTAACAAATCATGTAGATGAATGTGTTAGTGTAGTCTTTATTTTAAAATTCAGAATTTGATCAGTGAAGGTTGGCTTTTCTGGTTTTAGGGTGGGGTTTTTTTTGTTTGTTTTGTTTTTCCAGTCATTGAGTGGTACATTTTGAAGCTTCTGGGTTTTGCACAAGTTAGGTTGTTTTTGTTTTGTTCTTGCCTCACAGTTTGCTGTTTGTCTCCAAGTTCTTTGAACATCACCCCATCCCGCAGGAGGAGGCCTCCTTAGGAGAGACCACCCCAGCATCTGGATCCTACCCCTCAGTGCCCCCCTCAGATTCTGTTGGGTA